GGAATGTATGACAAACGATGATGATAGAAAATGACTGATTATGACCATGTACAAAATAGGATGTCGAAATAAAAAAATAAGAAACGAAATAAGACGAGGATAAAATGTATAAATATATTCCTTCAACCTGGGTGGTGGGTGGGTATAGTCAAGTATCAAGTATATAGATATAAAATCCCCCGAAAGATCTACACAAAAAATTACGATATATGGGTATTTGTTGGTTAATGCGAAAAATAATTTAGGAAATGAAGAACATGAAGAACGAATGATTATCAAGAATATGTCATAAACGGTAAGTTCATGCAGGAAATGTTGGCGATGAAAATGTACTTTATGTTAATGTAAGTAGAACAGTTTTGTACATAATTTGGTGCAATTCCAATCAATGTATTTCTGGCACATCATAGTGTATGTTTTATGTTATTCAAATAAGCAGGTCAAATGTAATTGTAAAATTTCCAAAGATAGACTCTCATACTTTCTTGTCATACTTGAGGCCTTTACATCTAAAAATTCTTCCTCTGCTGACTTCTGTTGATGGAAACTTGCCCACAAATGTCTGCCTGTTAAAACATGTGTAAAACAATATGCACTGGATGATAATAAGTGTCCACAATGCATCACAATAATAGTTGTAGTTCCTCATCTCTTTGACCCATGCATTTGTTACGGCGAACTGATCGGCTAACGTTGATAAGCAAGTCACGTGGTAAAATCTTACTCCGCAGCAATCAAACAATACCCCTGACGATCTGTTAATTAGATGTTACTCAGAACAACGCGAGTAACAAGAATTTTGAACGCAAAATGTAGCTAAGAATAGAAAATAACACGAGTAACGCGATTATGGTGGCAGTGTGGGAAAAGTAGAAAATACGCGCTCTGTGGCGTAGAAAAAGTAACACGATTTTGGTGACAACAAAATGTATATAAGGAGCCGTCCCCAACCGTCTAAAATCCTCATGTTTATGTTAATGTTGTTGTACGTTTGATGTGAAATAAATAATATTCGATACTGAAGTATTCGGATATAATAAACGATCAATCTGATCATTATGCTTTAATTATTACAAAACTTTTTACTTTTATTATTTCTATTTCTATCGTTGCGAAACTAAGCTTTTTGACTTAACTATTGGCAAGTAGATCGGTAACGACCCGTAGCTGTATTTAAACGTTAGTCGTCAGCGCAATATATCGGTAACGACCCGTAGTTGCGATATCTCGAACGATAATTTAAATTCTTTGCTGTAATAATTAGATAACATTTCCCGACTAGTTGAAACACTAAATCGAAGTTTGCCTTTGTTTGTAATTAGTATTAAATTGAATTTTCCCCTTCGATTCTGCGGTAGATAAATTATTGTTGTTTATTTATCGTAGGTACCTTTATTTAGATACGAGTATAGGAGAAATACATCGTACAGAGAGTGAAAGCGAAGCGCGCACACAAATATTATTGTCACCTTCAATTTAGTTCAGTCTTAAGTAAAGCAATCGTTGTAGTAAGGGCAGCGACAAGAGCTAAATTGAGAAAAACTTCCTCCCGGAAGAACACACCTACGCAATTCATTGTTCTCCCAACCCTATTTTGACGCCGACTGTAACACACTAACATGGTATGGAAAAAGGCAGAAAAAATGTTGTATTTTTTACTCCAAACAATTTATCATGTCTAATCACTCACAAATCTCCTACACCAACAAACTGGGATCATCAACAGTATGTACATCATGTATCTGGAAACCACATATATTTGTATCACAAATATAATTATCCACCTCTCAAACTTGTATTAAATTAGTCACTACACTCTTTCTTCATGATTTGAAAATTGGTGTATATAATAAAAATATAAATAAAGGTACAAAATTTGTATATAGCACCTTCAGTAAAAGCTATCTTTTACAAAAAAAATTATTGTAATAAAATTTGTTAACATTACCATTTGAAAAAGGGCAATACGTGTAATAACTCAGTGGCTATATAGTTAGCTACTTGTTTATTCTTGTTGTGTCTCAACCGCAAACAGCTATAAGCAATATACAACTAACAGCAAATTTATGCTTATATAGTATGCATGACTTTTTACAAACCAGTTGTTAATTCTTTACAAAAAGTATTATCATTACTGAGTAAGAAATACTTATTATTGCTAACCGGCAAATTTTTTACACTGTATTTGAGCTTTCATCGGTACCATTTTTTCTCCAAGGCCACATGCTCGACTTTCGATTATTATTCACACTTTCCAAATAAGCTTCATTGACAACATATTCCTTGAGAAGCAATTCCACTTTTTCTAGTCGGCATTGTAGTGCATACAATGTAGTTGATGTGTCCGGTGATAGTGCCGACGAACCATCCAATGATTTAGAAAATTGCACTTCTGGAACTGATTCACGAAATCGTTTACGAGTTTTTCGGCAGCAGTACAATTGTATGCAACCCCACGGGTTTAGAGTATCACTACCTGCAAAATTTGCAAATAAAATACACGTTATAAATAATTATCTGAAAATTAATGAGTTAAGAACGACTAAATTAGTAATAAAATACATACCAAATAAAATAGCATAACATCCAATAGCCACGCCCCATGCACCACCAAGCAAACCGAGTGCGTTGAGAAACTATTTGAAAAAAAAAAACCTCAAATACGTAAGTGGATAAGAAACATGACTAGTCTAATATAACGTTTAAATAGTTTTTATATAATCGCGTTTACCGTGCGTGATCTACGGATGTGCAGTAAATATTAGTCATTGCTTGTTACAATATACAGTAAACTCATTTGTTAGATATTACCTTTGTTCGGTTTCTATTCTAAGAGAATGGTTGTCAGCTTCAATCACAAATGCTCCAAACGTATAAGAGTCTATTTGGGTGCCGTTGTTGTCCGAAGTGCCAATACCAACTGTAATTATCGATACGTTAGCTATAATTAAAAAACGTTCCGCATATCTGAGAAAAATTATGCGTTACTTACAGAACCTTGAACTCGGATATCCTACAGAAATAGTTTTCGGGAAAATATCAAAATCAGCGAGTGTGGAAGGTTTAATTATTTTTTTCATATTACGAGAATAGCGTATAAAAGTTTGTTGGTGGTAGAAAACTCCAAGTGTAGATGTGATAAGGTTTGGATCGATTTTGTTGATTTCGTCAATGTTAATGATTCCGCTGTTTATTTTCATCAACGTATCTTGTTAAAATAAAAAAAAAGACAAAGCGAACAACTTTTAGCTCCTGGTAAATAAGTAATAATTGCAAACTGATTAATAAAACAGTTATTTACCTGTGTCATACATCTTGACGACCATACCATTAAAGGAGTCAGTCCTGTTGAAACTCAAATCAGTAATGATTATTAGAAAATCTATGCGTACTATTCCTTCATTAGCGTCTTCAAAGGGCAATATTTTTAAATCAAGCGTGGGTGTAAAGTTTGCGTTGTAGGTTCCATCTGCAACATTAGCCGAAAAGCTAATGAACTTGTTGCATCCATCATCGGGATAGTAAGTACCATTAATATCAAATTTTGTATATGTACAACTTATATTGAAGTTATAGCCACCGTAAACGCATAACGTTGGAAGGGGCAGTCCGTCTTTTAACGTTTGCACCTTTGTGGTTATGACAGGTGTATCATGGAGAACGCCAAGTATAAGAAAAACTGCATATCCACATAAGAGAATCAAGATGAGGATGACAGCTAAAACACGACATATATGAACTGATAACGGCTCAGTTTTGCGTCTCCTAACAAGTATTCGCATATCGAGACTTAATGTAACTATAATAAGTGGTTTAAAGGAACAATTACTCCCTGGCCGGCTTTTTATACTTTTTACTTAATCTGATGTGCCCAGATGAGATTGTCCCGATGCAATGTTTTAATCTGTGAACAGGAGAACAAAGTCCGTGTTATGAATAATACAACTAGATTTTCATTTTGGATAATAGCCGTCCATATTTGTGGCAATTTAATCTGTCGGGGTTGTCGATCACAACTAGATCAGTTTGTGTATCCAAATCTTCTTGAGCAAACCAAACGTGAGTTGTCAACATTTAGTACACCTGCCAGGGGTCTGCACTACAGCAACGTTATAAAAAAGTCGTATCACGTCAGATTAAGGAAATGGCGTAAGTATTTTACATTAGTTGTCAAATAGTAGTACATGATAAAGCTTGAAACGGCACAATTATAGAAATTAGCACGACAGATTTGTTTATATACCGCCGCGTTGCGGGCAAGGAAAAAAAACCCCCAGCTATTATTAGATTTGTGTAAACAAATGAAACAGTCAGGCGATAAAGATCATGTCTTCGAACTTTATTGTTTAACAGACGATCAGTGATGATAAGCCTTGAATCATGATAAAAAAAGTTCTATACCAGTTCTATACCAGTTCTATACCAGTTCTATACCGGTTTACTGTTTTATAAAAAAGAGCTAAAAATAGAATATTTTTAGACTGTATAACGCATAATAAAGATAATTTTGCTTAAAACCAGAGCTCAAATATGTAATTTACCCTGTTGTCAGAAAATATTGTTTTAGTTAATTTTTACATGCTGCATTTGATGACGATTTGCCAATTATGCTGATTATGATATCGATAGATTCCAATCCCAATGCCTGCTTATGAAATTAAGTAGCTGTCTCTCGGAACAGCACTACTTGGCTGTTCTAACTTACAAATGGCGTTGTAGGTCAACTTACCCCTTACGTTTGGCTTATAATAAAATTTTAACATTTAGTCAACAGAAATTAAACCGATGCAAGAAACTGTTCAACGATTAAGCGTCTAAACTCTCCTCATTTACAATGTTTATAAACTTGCCTTGTTTTCTTTGCGGCAATTGAGTGAAAATATCTTACTATCTTAGTAATGTTTTGCTAATTTTTATTTTGCTCTACTTGCATCGTAGTGTGTATTCTTTTTAGCATATTACGTTGTCGGTGTTGCACTTTGTAAATTTGTTGTTTTGGTCGCTTACCAGGAAAAAACTGTAAATAAACAAAATGTAAATTACAATTGTTTAAACATAATTTAGCTAATAACAGGCGCCATTTTACCTTTAGTTTCTTCAAGTCAACTTTTTCAATAACTATGCTCTAGTATTGATTATGATTTGCACTTTTTAAATAAGTTTGATTGACCACATATTCCTTGAGAAGCAATTTCACAGTGTGTTTGTCTAGTCGATGTCGTAATGCTCGATTCTGAAAGAATAAATAATGACGGTGACAATGGCCATCCAATGATTTGGAAGATTGCATTAGGTAATTTTTTAATAACACCAAATTTGTGGCAATTTAACCTTAAAGTCGAGTTGACGGTCAACCAATTGGTTATCGTACAAATGTCATGTGTCTCCAAACTTTTTTTTTAACAGATTTTGAGCTTAAATTTGAGTAACATTGCAAACCCCATGTCAACTTTTAGTAAAATTGCCAAGAGGCCTGTGTTACATACAGCAACGGGATAAGAAAATTGTACAACGTCAGAATGAGTAAGTAGTGCATAAACGCAGCTTTAAATGGTGCGGGTACAGAGATCAGCACTACAGATTTGTTTATGTGTGGCAAAGCAAGCGGTCGGTGTAACCATAATCGAAGGCTGAAGACGTTCAGTGGCGATAAATCTTTGTAACATGATAAAAAATTTTCTACACCAGTTTTACTATATATGCTATTCTTATTATTAGAAAACGCAATCAGTTTTAGATGTATAACGCATGATGGAGATAATTCTGCTTCCAATCAGAGCCTAAAATATGTAACTTACTTTATATTGTCATAATTGATTCTTGATATGTCCGTTGTTTGGGCTATACCACGTATTGTAAGTAAAATGACATTAAAAAACTTTATTAATTGTCAATTTTAACATGCGAAATTTGATGGTTAGACTGACGTCGTAGATTTCGATCACAATGCCTGGTTATAATCGAGCATTCACTTCTCGTAATTGCATTATCCGCTTAAACATAGCGTTGTAGACCCCTTACGACTTTTTTTGATTGCAGGGTAATGCGTTCAAAACCAACAGCAAATTTATTACTAAATAAAAAATACTTATTACAAAATGTATTTGAGCTTTCGTCGGGACACATTTATGGCAAAATAGCGTCAGTGTTATTTTTACGTTTGTTTCTCCAAGGCCACATGCTCGAATTTTGATTATTATTTGCGCTTTCCAAATCAGTTTGATCAATAACATATTCCTTGAGAATCAAGTCCATAGTGTCTAGCCGGCATTGTAATGTATTCAATGCAGTGGATAAGTCCGGTGACGAGGATGGTGATGAGCCATCCAATAATTTGGAAGATTGCATTGGCATTTCTGCAATTGATTCACGAAGTCGTGTACGAGTTTTTCGACAGCAGTATAATTGGATGCAACCCCACGGGTTTAGAGTATCACTGCCTGCCAAATTATGAATAAAAATATACGTTATAAATATTATTATCCAAATATTAATAATTTTGAGAATGGTTAAATAAATAATAAAATATATACCGAATAAAATAGCATAAAATCCAATAGCCACTCCCCATGCACCACCGAGTAACCCAAGTGCGTTAAGAACCTATTTAAGAATAACTCAAATGGTAAGTCGATAAGAATCATAACTAAATTTTAAGCAATCTTTTTATATAATAAACCATCGACATTTACCGTGCGTGATCTATGGATAATAGCAAAAATTAGTTACCACTTAGTATTGTTACAAACTAGCTACTTTGTCAGTCATTTACCTTTTTGTGACTTCTGTTGTAACGAAAAAGTTAGGTCGGATTACAAAACCCCCAAAACCATTAGGGTTTATTAGGCTTTCATTCTGCGTCAGGGGACCACTATCTGTAATTATCAACATGTTAACTATTATTTAAAAAGTTCTGTCAAATATAAAAAAATTATGTGTTACTTACTCAATCTTGTAGTTAGATATCCGAAAGGGATAGTTTTTTGTAAAATGCCAAAGTCAGTGAGTATAGATGGTTTAATTATCTTTCTCACACTTCGAGAATACATTATCAGACTTCGTTGGTGATAAAAAACTGCAGTTAGTGATTGTACGTTCAAAAATGTGACAAGCTGTGGATCAATATTGTTGACTTTATCAATAATATTCTTGTTTGTCATAGTTTCTTGTTTAAAAAAAAATTAAAACAGACAACTTTTAGCCCGATAAATAACGGATAATTGCAATTAATTAATAGAATTACAATTATTTACCCGCGTCTGCCATCATAACATCAATGGGTTCAATAAAATTGCTACTGCCGAAAGCCGAATCAGCAATAAATACAGTGAACACTACGTTTTGTATTCCTTCGTCAGTTATAGAGGGTACTACTTTTAAATCAAGCGTGGGTGTAAAGTTTGCTGTGTAGATTACAATTCCGTTATTCAGAGCTATAGTCGAATATGTAATGTAGTTGCTGCACTCAGCCTCCGGAGAGTTTGTAATTTTATTACTGATAGTTTCTGTAAAACTACAACGTAGAGTAAAGTTATATGGCCATACGACACTTAACATTGGAAGTGGCATTGTGTCTACCGTTTCCACATTTGTGATTATGACGGGAGTATCATGTAGGACGTCAAGTATAAGAAAAATGGCATATCCACATAAGAGAATCAGGACAAAGAACACAGACAAAATACGACATCTATGAACTGATGATGGTTCAGTTTTGCGTTTTCTAACAAATACTCGCATATCGTTTAATGCAACTACGATAAGCCGCTTAGAGAAATGATGATGTGAACGGTTACTTCTGCTCGGGCGTTTTTATACTGTTTGCTAATTATTAATGAAACCCGAAGTAAAATTATCCCGATACTTACTATTTATGTACATTAATGTAAACCAGTCCCATAATATTATACCTTTATAGACGCTCTCAGCTGTCTTTATAAGTACAAATATAACAAACTGTACGGAAATAGATCCAGTGATAGCACACACTAGAAAGCGCGGAATATTATATCTTTATCTTTGGCTTATTATTAGAATATGGCAGTAGGTAAAGAAATAAAATTATAATAACAAGCTAATGATATATGTAGTCTATCAAATGAAACAGGGGAGATATGTAAGCCATGTTATGAATCGTTAGGCGAGTAATAGCGACATTGACAAAATATCTAAATTTGTAACTCGACTTGACGATCACGATTCGGGTCATCATCGTACAAAACTTTGTGTTCAAGCTTTTTTTTTTTTTTTTTTTTGAGCTTGCGGCAACATTTGAGTAACATCAAATGCGAGATGCCAAGACGCTCGTGCTACAGCAGCTCATAATACGCCAGAATAAGTAAGTGGCATGCATAATGATTTCCAATAAGCTTGCGAGACCGATACATTCAGTTGTCAAAAATGGTAGCGTATCAATGAAGCTTAAATGGTGCAATCGTAGATACTGATTTGTTTATCACATGAAAAAGTGTTACCATATATATACGTCGCGTTGCAGACAAAGAAAAAAAATAGACCATTGTTAGCCTGAGTAAACCGACATAAATATTAAGCAGTAAGACAACGTTTTCGGAACAAAGCACTTTCTTAAAGCGAATGTCGGAATGCATTGCTGATCGTTTGCTTCTCTTCTTCATTAACTGGAAAGCGGGGTAGTCGCTTGCATCACTGTAAGTACTGATGAATTTTTACTATGTGATACGCAATGGCGTAAGCCATATTCCAATCTGGGAATGATAAAACTTTGTAACATGATATAAACCAGTTTTACTGTTCATAAGCTAAAAATAAATACATTATTTTTGGATTGTATAACGCTTGAAAAAATAATTATGCAATTTACTTTATATTGTCTATGGTTTCAGTATGTTATTTATTATCAAAAGCTTTATCAATCGTCAATTTTAACATGTAAATTCTCGTTTTTGTAGATTCGATCACAATGCCTGGTTATAAATCGAGTATTCGTCCCTTGCAACCGCATTGCCTGGTTGTCCTACTTTACAAAATAGCGTTCTAGAACTGCATTTACCCCTTACGATTGCAGGAACAGACATTGAAATGAGACTGTTCAACAAAGACTTTTTTTTTGGCGTTTTTACTTTTGATTTTGAGAGTTAATCAAATTAAACGGAATTGCTCATAGAATGAATAGAGCTTTAATTCTGCCGCGAGGCTACGGATGTCCCTATATTTGTTTCATTTCTTTGAGGCAATTGATTTTGTGGGTCGTTTATTGGCACACCTACGATAGAACCTGTTTTAACGAATCAGAAGATGTTTTCCTGTTTGCGTAGGACTTCTAATGTAGGAAGCGAATTCGAATAATTTTTGGATAAGTTAATTTTATCGACTATTTTGCTTTTATATCGTATACCTATGGTGCAAGACACCCAAGGACGGAACAGTCCGAAATCTTGTTCTGCAGATCACTTATCAATCACATGACATTTAGTCTAATAAAATTCTTTAAAATCAATAATACAAATTCGCTTTATTTTGAAAATTATAACACTTTTCGTCTGCTCTCTAAACTTGCATCTGCTCTCCACTTCAACCAAAGGCTATTCTTTGAAAGCCTGTCCCGAATATCTTGTTCTGTTGCTAATCAACATCACTCCCCCAATCACTTACCTCATCGTTCTCCCAAAGTTTTTCACCTGATGAATCATCACTCAATCTTGTCTCCATTAATTCGAATGTGCTTGATTCTGTATCCATCAGGTTGAGTTTGTCTTCTTTAATAAACTTGCCTCTCTTATCTCGAGACACTTGTTTATATGCAGCTTTTTTTTTATTTGGTCGAGGCATATTAAAACAATAAAGAATGTCACGAGAACAGTAACGCTAAACTTACTTCACTTTACTGGATAATGGAATGTTACGCAAATGGCAGCACAAACTTGGATGTCTAAAATTCATTTTTTTCTTAAGAAACTTGAGAAAACTGTTGCTTTTCAAATGCCTGAAACTCGAAACTTTTTGAGTTAATTAAAAATTTTAAACCATAACTTTTATTCTACTTCATTTGCTCTATTATTCTTATGGATCAGTTTTCTCTAAACCCTATTATATAAAAGCCTTAGGATTTTGAAAGTCGGGTATTTTATTTCCGGCTTTATATTTAGGTGTCTGCACCATAGTGCAATTCTGCCTTGCATAATAGTGTTGTTGGTACTATTATTATTGAGTTGTATTAACTCGGTCAAAAAAGTACAGATTTATAAAATAGTGTACCCGCGAGTCCAAGCAATTGCCTTCCGCCTTGTAGACTACATTTGGAGGTATAGAAAGGCGCTATTATTACTAAGAATACTTATTGCCCAACAGGAAGATTTTTACATTATATTTGAGCTGTTGCGGGAGACTTGTGGTGGGATAGTCCGGTAACGATAATGGGAATAAACGGTTTTTTTTCAAGACATAAAACAATAATATAATTGAATGTAAGCCCACTGCAATGTAAATAAATATATATTGTAGAGGTATAATATCTGGATATAATAGGTTTTAAAGTAAATATAATTAATTAATTAATTATAAAAAAATAGTAAACACGCCTCCATTCATTGTTCAAGTAAATTAAAAATAACTCAAAATTGTAAGCTCATAAGAACGAAGTTAGAATTATAGCTCCATAAACTTAACTTTTAACATCACCGTGCATACGTGTAATTGCGGATAGTCGTTGCTTAGTAATGTTTACTAGTGTTTCAATATGAACTACTTTGTTGGTCATTTGCAATACCTTTGTTTTATTCCCGTAATCCGTCAAGATTACCATCAGAGTTTACTATGCTGTCATTTTAAATCAGGAGAACCATTATCTGTAATATTATTAATTTACATACGGTTTCGTGACCCCTTCGATCATATGAAAATCATCGGTAAACCCAATAAACTTTAGGGAATTATCTAACAGTAATCCTGTAACGAGGGCTTTTTATAATTAGTGTTAGGTGTCATTATATAATAAACTGTTTGCGGGGAGACGGTTATGTTGCTAATAGCAATAATCAACGTGTGTGCTTATTCACGAGAGGATACAGTATACAACAACATGAAAACAAATGTCACTACAATATTGTTTTTGTTTTTTGTTTTGTTTTGTTCTTTGTTTTGCCAACGCATAGCTTTTCCTTTCTCTCACACTGTAAAACATCAACGGGGCAAAGATCTTATATTAATATTGGCTTCGCTAATGATTGAATTACTGTTAACATTAAAAAATTGCATAGTATATTATTATTCTGTGCATATTCACGGGTCAAATGGAGACACTCCAAAGGTCAAAGAGTATTGACCTTTTATTTGAGTATGCTGGTTGCTTTTTACAACAAAGCAACTTGTCCGAACCTGATTGTCCCCTGTTTGCTCACTTTATCGGACCATCGTATGCTTTACCCAATAATGTGGAATGCTCATTGCCTCTGTTTATCGATACGTTTTCTTCTAAACAATGGCGATACAAAATTTCTGATAACATTATGACCTATCGTGAATAATAATTTACTATTAATCTATTGGCTTGTTTTAATGCAAGATTCTACCTACTGCACAACAAAAGTCCGTAATTATGCTTAACCACACAGCGTGTACACTGGCTGCTTTTATTTCATAATCTTACAAGTCGAAAGCATATCGTCGTATTTAATTAAACGATGGGTAAATCCATAAATAAACTCGTGTAAACTGTTTAATTCAAAAATCTGAGTCACCAAAATAAGACAATGGACTAATATTGTAGACTGACTTTATCATCGATGTAAGCGATTACTTACGAATCACAACTATTTCTCGGCTTAGCAATTTGGTCTTTTTCAGTTTATTTCGGCTCTTTGGGTAAATCTCCAGTAGGTAAGAGCTTGCTGGAGTATTTACTCTCTTTTTCGAGACGTGATAAAGGTTTCACATTATTATAGTAAATAGAATTCCAATTGTAGTCAGCCTTTCCGATAAGCTTGTCAATATCCCAGTAAAGTGTAATTGCATCAGGACGCTTATCAGGATCGGCATCACAGCACCACTCGGCAAGTTTCTTGTATTTCTCTGGTGCGGAATCAGGCATCGATGGTCGTAGTCCATCCATAATATCGCATACTAAACCTCTGTCGAATTCCCTATCTCTGAAAGGTGGTTCGCCAGTAGCAATCAAATACATAATAACGCCAAAAGAATACACATCTGATTTCTGAGTAAATCTGCGGGTATGGAAGACTTCCGGCGCGATAAAGGGCAAAACGCCTCGAACCGTTGAATTCTGTTGACGAGAATTGACCGATCGGGAGAGGCCAAGATCGCAAATAAACGTATGTTTCTGATGCCCATCCTCATGCAAAACAATGTTTCCGCCATGAAGGTCACAATGCACTAATTCCATATCATGAATAATGCTCAGGTAATGCGCAATATCCAACAAACACTGTAATTTCATTTTCCAGCTCAATTTGTTGATGTTTTGATCCAAATAAGACAAAAGACTGCCTTTGTTAGCATATTGCATAACAATCATATAATCTTTTGTTTCTGGGTTTTGTGTGTATCCGTAAATCTTAAGGAATGAATAACGATGTTTATCTACGCACTTGACATGATTTCTAAACTATTAAATAAAATAAATATCGCATCAGATTAAAATAACACTATATAGCTAGTAATACCAACGGTTTTCTTACCTCAGAAATAAATAATTCCGGCGCTTCGTCAAAATCCTTAAAGCGCTTGAGTACAACAGTTTCCCCCATATAAGTTAGATATTCGGCAGCATAAACTGCTCCGTAACCACCAGATCCGATCTCTTGAAAATCACAAAAATCGCTATACGGCATGTACTTGACATCCTCGTTACGTTGTATAAACCTGTCCAATATCGGACGTATTTCATGGTAGAAAACTAGATAATATTCCCGAGTAGATGGCTCCCGAGTAATTCCGACTATCCAAATATTATCTGGTGTTAATATCTCTGGGTACTCCCTAGTTAGCTATTTGAATAAACAAATATAATCGTTACAACGTTAATTGACGTTAAACGCACAATTGCACTTATCGATTGGACTATTCACACGACACGTGAATAATTACCTGATGGAAATCAAATAACTGATCGCCTTGTTCATTAGCTATCTTTTTGAGTGTCACCCTTGCCGATTCATTCGTTGCCAAAGCCGCCGCTATATGTCTGCGTAATGACATCAATTCTTGTAATATATACGCATTGTTTGTTTGTGCTATATTACTCCACGACACTCTTGTTGATTCATTCATTGCCAAATTCGCTACATGTGTGCATCCATGGCGTAATGATGTCACTTCTTGTACGTCTGTTAGTAAAGAGTATTCAACCCATTGTATATACGCATCGTCTGTTCGCGTTATATTACTCCACGACTCCATAATAAATGAATCCAAAGACTTGTTGCCCGTTGTCCAATCAAGTGGCCGTGGCGCTTTACACCGATAACAGAATGCACTTATCTTACATTCTAATGGCTGCGTACATGCCAGACATAATTCCCTCTCATATTCGTCTTTTATTAGATAATACTCTTGCCGTCTTTCACAGTATGTAAACCCAATGGTAACCCAAGCATCTGTACGAAGAAGATCTGGATGCGTATCACATAACTATTGGAGTTTATAAGCCGGTAAGTATTTAAAAATTCGATAAACAACAGCGCACATACATGTAAATGGCTTACCTTGGCATAATACGAATTATCTGTCTCGTCTGTTATCCCAAGTGGAATCAATTTAGCATTCAGAATAATAGGTGGACCATACAAGCGACAACAGCGGCTTTCCCCAAGTAAATTCCATTCAAAATAAGCATCTGGTGGTATCCAAGAATCGTCTGGTGGAATCCAAGCATCGTCTGGTGGAATCCATTCTAAGTAAGCATCATTTGGTGAGTTCGTTTGTAATTGAGATTTCTTAATAAACTCATCGAGTTGCGTATTATCACTAGTCCATTTATCGGATAGTTGCTTATGACCGCAAAGGCACCACACGGGACTACATCGGAGTATTTTGCACGCGGGGCAGAATCCGTATAGAGAATAACATCGATAAAAGCGTCTTTCAGCGACCATATAGTAATTATCGTTATGCTTGGTAAACCCAATTATGAGCTCGTTACGCTGCTCAAGCCATCGGGAATATCGTCTATACTGACTGACGTCACTGTTGCACTTGCGTGTTGGAAGTGAGTATATTCTAGCAAACTCACTCACGAATGTTGCAGTACATTCTTCGGTGTTTCCAAGCGATAGCGATAGCAACATCACATCAACCTTGTGCTTGCGAATAATAGCATAGTAGACAGCATCGATTTGACTTGGTTTCATGTCGATAATTTTGTGGAAGGAAATCCATTTAAGTTTACGTTTGCTTTTTTTAATCAACTTGTCAATTGCTTTATCTTTGAACCCTGACATACTAATACTAATGTTTGGAAATGTTTGGAATATAAAATTTTCCAAGTGAGAGGATAATTCAACAATTATTTGTGAAACGTCGCATATTCTCTTGGCACAACAATAAACATTGCGTCATATATTCCTTTTGCGTTACTGCTCAATAATATGTGCTTAAACTATCACATGCATATCGATACGACAGTAGTTAATTACTCAAGTCAAATAGGAAATGAAATAGCTTTTGGTAAAAATGCCAAAGCCAATGAGTTTATCGGGTCTAATCATTTTCCTCACACTTGAGAATAAACCACGAATTTGTTTGTGGCAAAGAAACTGTACATATTGATTGGGGCATGTTTAAAAATTTGATAAAATTTGTATCAATTATGTTAACGTCTTCAACTTAACAATATTTGTCTACTTTATCTCTGTTTTTTGTTTTAAAATTTTCTTTTCAGTACGTTTACGACGTACTAGAAAATTGACAAATTTGCATAGATAACAGCATGATTGCTGGAATCGAATGTCGGATAGTTATATGTACCGAGAGTATCCGACTTATATTAAATTAGTCACTGCACTTTTTTTTTTTTACGGTTTAAAAGCTGTATGTTCAGAAAGAATGTAATAAGGTGTTACATTGACTAGAAGTAAGTATACAACACCTTCAAAAGTGAAGTCGAATTTCCCTCCAGAACACTCGTGTCGCTCTCAAGCGCAAGTCTTCAAAGTATAAATGCTTGTTTAAGTAATTTTTGCAATTTACAAAAGGAAAGTTTGTGACAAAATTCTTTGGTTGTAACATTTGAAAACGACAAATAATTTAGTGGTTAGCCGATTGTTTATTTTTATCCGCAAAAAATCTATAAGTAATACACAACTAACTTCTAACTTACTAGCTAACATGGTATCAGTATGTTAACTTTACAAATCAGTAATTAAATCTTTACGGAAAGTGTAACCGAAAATTTCTTAAATTGTATTTGAGCTTTTTTGGGAAAAATTTATGGTGAGATAGCATCGACTTTAGTGTCAGTGTAATCTTTACTTTTGTTTCTCCAAGGCAATAACTTTCCGAACATGCTCGGGCTTTGATTATAATTCATACTTTCCAAATAAATTTGATTGACAACATAGTCTTTGAGAAGCAATTCCAGAGTGTCTAGTCGACGTTGTAATGCATTTGATAAGTCCGGTGAAAGTGATGACGAACCATCTAGTGATTTGGAAGATTGCAATTGGCATTTCTGGAACTGTTTCACGAAGTCGTGTACGGAATTTTCGACAGCAGTATAATTGGATGCAACCCCATGGGTTTAGCGTATCGCTACCTGCAAAGTTGCAAATAAAATATATGTTATAAACTAATTATCTGGAAATTAATAAATTTTTGAACGGCAAATAAATAATAAAATATATACCAAATAAAAGTGCGTAAAATCCAATAGCTACGCCCATGCACCACCAAGTAAACCAAGTGCGTTAAAAAACTATTGAACAAAACTCAAATAAGTAAGTGGATAAGAAACATGATTAGTCGAATTTAACTTTTAAATAATTTTATATCATCAGTGAGAAGTGTAGTGTTTGCCGTGCGGGATTTGCAAATGTGCAAACAAATATTAGTTATCGCGTGTGTGTGTTACAATAGTAAACTGATTTGTTAGATATTTACCTTTGTTCGATTTCTATCCTAACAGAATGGTTTTCAGCTTGAATTATAAATGCTCTAAAATAACTAGAATTTACCATGTTGTCATTGTGTTCCAGAGAACCAATACCCCCTGTAATTATCGTTATGTTAGCTATAATTAAAAAAAAAAGGTTTGCATATCTAAGAAAAATTATGCGTTACTTACTCAACCTTGTAGTTAGATATGGTATAGAAATAGTTTTCGGATAAATGTCAAAATCGGCAAGTGCAGAAGGTTTAATTAACTTTTTCACATTTCGAGAATAGTTTATCCAAGTTTGTTGGTGATAAAAAATCTCAAATGTGGATGTGATAAGATTTGGATCAATTTCGTTGATTTCATCAGTGTTAATAATTCCGTTGTCTATCTTTGTCGATGTTTTCTTGTAAAAAAGAATTTAATAATTGTAAACTGGTTATAAAACAGTTATTTACCTGTGTCTATTATCATAACTGACATAAGATAAATAAAATCGTTACTGTCGAAATTTGAATCAGTTGTAGTTATTCGAAACGTTGCGGCCATTATTCCTTCCGTAGCGTCCAAACTGGGTACTGTTTTTAAATCAAGCGTGGGATTAAAGTATGCGTTGTAACTTCCATCCGCAATATCAGTCGAAATTTTAATGTACTTGTTGCACTCATCCTCCGGAGAGGTAGCGAAATTATCGTTAATAAATTGCAAAAATTGACAACTTAGAGTAAAGTTGTATGTATCCGATATAACATTTAACGTTGGAAGAAACAATCCGTCTACTGTTTGCACATTTGTGGTTATGACTGGTTGGTGTATCATGGAGTACGCCAAGTGTAAGAAAGATTGCATATCCACATAAGAGAATTAGGATAAAGACTACAGACAAAATACGACATATATGAACTGATGGCGGCTCGTTTTGCGTCTTTTAACAAATATTTGCATATCGTTTAATGCAAGTATATAACGGACTCAGAAGATGCATTTTAAACAATCACCCTCTGGCCGGCTTTTTTATACTTTTCGTTAAAATATTTAATTATTAATATTGAGCCTTGATGTGCCCAGATGAGATTGTCCCGATGCTTCAATCTGAGAACAAAATCTGTGTTATGGATAATAAGCCGTCCGATAATTCTTCGTTGGATGCACGAAATATGTTGAGCTCGTTTTGGGAATTCGACCCGTTTCAAGATTGTCACATATATTTTCGTCGTTATCACATCGACGTATATGCAATACTGGACACATTTATGCACAACAAATGTGTTGAATACATGCAGTATAGCGACTTTTATGATATTAAACGGATTGGAGCTGGTGGTTATGGAACAGTTTATACTGCCAAGTATAAAAGGTATTCAGAAGTAGAGCGCATGTATAAGGAAACAGTTGTACTCAAAAGATTTAAAGATTTTGATAAAATGCCGGAATTATTTATTGCTGAGGTAAGCAATGATTGGTAGTATTAATTAAAGTGTTATTTAAGCTGACTCTATTTATTATTTATTTAATAGTTCAGAAATCTAACATTGTTTTTATACCTCTCCCAAACGATCCATGCAATTGCAAATTATCTTGCTCAACTCTTCATCGTAATTGCTTTTATTTGACAATGAATAATAGTATTTAAACACAATAGCTGCTTTGTGACTAGAATGCAAGAATTCTGTAAGTAAAAGTTATCCCAAGCCTTCTTGAAATCTTCCGATTGAATAAAATGTCTGGTACTTTTGTAAGAACCAAAACCTTGATTTATTCCACTGCTTATCGATGGTATCAATCTGTCGACCACTCTTTTAATGATGATGTAGTCCCCTAACGATGCAAGTTTAACAACGTAAATAAAACTTGTTCGGCGCAAGTGTACCAACTATGTATGTCCAGATTGCAAAGTAAAATTTAATTGCCTATCCAGACTTTTGGCTGAGTCTGAGCTCTTCGTATGGTTTTCAAAATGCGTTATAATAGTACTATATTGAAATAAGGGAGAACAAAGCAAAGATGTACCATCATTAGGTGTGTTGATTAACTTCAAATTATTTGCCATACTGCTAATATAAATAAACCCTAACGATCATAAATTCCACTGTCACAATAGTCCATTACATTAACATGTCACGTCCATTCGATTGAATTATCATTATTAGTTTATAAGGGTTTTGAAATGTAAAAGTTTATTATTTAGACGGGATGAAATTGTTCCGCTATGAAAGATTCACGGAACTTTTGATTATTCATCTTTAAGTCCTGAAAAATTCATTACTTAATATTCAACCACGCACGCAGTTTGAAGTAAACGTAAGAAGACGTAAAGAATGCGAGGTAGTATAGTAGGTAATTGCCTCTGTGGTGGCACTAAACTCGATCGTGAATCCGCGATCCTCATTAACGATTTAGGTATGACTGATTCTAAATATTTATTTCTAAATTATGCAGATGTTATAGTAGTATGATAGCATAATATTACAGTCTCGAATTTTATTAGACATAATTGTCAAACGATCTGACTTATCACTGCAGCTTGCTGGAAGCCATATTCTATCTATAATAATAACAAATAATAATTAAATTAAAGAATTGTCACATAATCTGTGCTTATAAAAGAGAACATGCAAGCTTGGATTCTATATCTTAATTAAAGCTACTGACCAAAATAACTGTTATTAATATTAATATCAAATGAGGCAAGTTTAAAGTTGATTAGTCATATACTATATATTTAATAAAATGTTCCTAAATTCATTTTGTTTATTTAAAAACACTTGAAAAGTATAAGTAAATGCACTGTACAATTAGAGAAAAGCACACACACAAACTAACCAAAAAACAAAATTTAGTAATACAATTATGGCTAACACGAGACAAATTTTAAATTATTAGAAATTCTAATCTAACTTAACTGTATGAATTTAATATAAAAAAAGTTTTTTAAATTCTAAATCTACTTACTA